GATAATTTTACTTCCTCTTTGCCAATTTGTATACCTCTAATGTCTTTATCTTTTTTTATTGCTATCGCTAAGACTTCCAATACAATATTGAATAAGAGAGGAGATAATGGGCATCCTTGCCTAGTTCCTGTTGAGACAGGCACATTTTTTAAGGTGAGGCTTTGAAGGCTCTATTAAAATGCATATATACCATCTGAGAAAAAAGAAGTGACTCCATTAGTAACTGTTAACACCTTAGGAAGGAATCCTTTTTCCCAGCTCTTCCCTAATGTCTTTTGATGCTTCATTTGGATACATTATCATCAGGAATGCTAGAAAAGGCCATGAGATTTGGTGAAGTAGAAGAGCAGTGAAAAGGAGGGAAACCGTCAATGAGGTGGATTGACATAATGGTTCTAATGTTGGCCTCAAGCTTAGTAGTGATCATGCAGATGGCACAGACCTGGGTAGGCACAGGACACTCCGTGACAACTTCTGAGAGAAGAACAGAGCCCTGGGGACATCGAGAGTGGTGGTGATAGTGAGCTCACCTGGCCTCTGCACAGATTGCCCTGGCTGCCTCTCCAGGCTTGTTGGAATCCCTGTTTCCTTGCATGCTTCGTTCTAAACCCACTGACTGCCATTGAGCTCCTCTACCAGGTCACCGTCTGTCCCTGCTGGTGCACATGCTGTTCCTGCTGCCTAACTGTCCCTTTTCCCTTCTTGTTCAGGTCTCAGATTACAAGTCACCCTCCACAGTCAGTTGAGGTTGTTCCTTTTTCTGTTTCCTTTGACACTAGTGTTCCTCAAGCCTTACCCGCATGCAGACCTCGTGGACTCTTACTGACATGTAGATTCCACCTTAGTAGGCATGGTTGGGGTGAAGATTTTTCATTTTTAGTAAGCAGTGGGGTGAATCCATGCTGTTGGCCCATGGACTACATGTTCAGTAGTGATGTTTAGATTAATTATTAGTATATTTTATTAAAACAGGAAATCAAACCAAACACATTGCTGTTGAGTCTATTCCCGTTCATAGTGCCTCTAAAGAAATAGAATAGAGCTGTCCCGCCGAGCTTCCAAACTCTGAGTCTTTATTTCTTTTTAAATGTTGTTGTGTAATGTCAAATCAGATCTAACTAGCATAGGAGGAGAGTGCCCCGCTCCTCCAGCAGAGCATCTGTTGGATTAGAACTGTGTGCCTTAGGGATTGCAGCACAGCTTCTTGCCAGTAGACCACCCGAGCTCCAAGCGCTAAGTCTTTTAAAGAAGCAGATGGTCATATCTTTCTTCTTCAGAGCAGCCAGTGGCCTTGAGCTAATGACCTTTTTCTTAGCAGCCAAGCCCTTAACCACTGTGCCACCAGGGTACTTTAATAAGATGACACTGTTGTTATGTTCCATTCAATTGGCACTGACATATAGCTGACCCTCCAGGGGATTTTCAGGGGCTGCTCATCTTTTCTCTACAGAGCAGCTGGTGTATTCAAACTGCCTACCTTTGGGTTGGTTGCACAACTCCTTACCCTCTAGTCTGCCAGAACTCTTTTTGTTATGACAGGTTGAGTATCCTTTTCATGTGTCCATTTAATTGTTTGGTTTCCACAGAGCCTCCAGGGGGCACTGCTTAGCATAGTATTTACCTCAGAGTTGACATGAGTTTCTGGATAGGACAAATGGTTAGTGCACTTGGCTGCTCCCCTCAGTGTTGGCGTTTGGAATCCACCCAGAGGTATGTCTTAAGAAAGGCTTGGTAATCTGCTTGTGCAAAATCAGCCACTGAAAATGGAACACAGTGCTAGTCTGTGAAGTTGTGTTGTTGTGTACCACAGAGTCAGAGCTGACCCATAGCTGACCCTCCAGTGGGTTTTTAGAGGCTGTAAATAAATGGCACAGGAATTGATTGCCCATCTTTCTCCCACAGAGCATCTGGTAGATTTGGACCATGCACCTTTCACTGAGTAGACTCAGTAGCCAGTGGCTGGCATTGAACAGTGAGCGTCAAGTGACAATCCCTCTCTTTCTAGAATGTGAAATCCATGAAGGCAGGGGCCTTGGAGTTTCTTATCAGTGTGTTCCCTGAGCTTAAACAGTGACCCGATGTTGAAAGGACGATCAAGTGGTGGCCCAGTGGCCTCCAGGGAAGGAAGGGCATGGTTACCTCAATAGCCACAGCAATGTCGGGGGAGCACAGCTCCCAGACCCTCAGTTCCTGCAGCACCTTCAGGAGGACGTGAGGCCGAATCCTAAGATCTAGGTTCTCCCCAAACTTCTGCAGTTTCACCAGGATCTTTTTGGCTGGGAGGAAGTTCTTCAGGTCTTCGGGGAGTTTGGACAACAGATCAAAGTACCTTCAATTCCAAAAGGGAAAGGCCCGTTAGGAAGCTTTGGGAGGTCAGCTGGAGTACTTCAGGCCCTCCACCTCTGTGTCCCGCTCTTGTGATCTCAGGTGGCTTCCACTTTCTGGGGTGACAATGGACCCACAGATCAGATGAGGCATTGATTTTTAGAGGTAGGAAAACTGGAGCATGGCTTGCATATCATTTTAAAAATAGCAAGTTAGGGGCATGTTTTGAAAAAGACTCCTACATTCCCTCTCAGCTAGAAACTTGAAAAGTTTGAAGAAGGGAGGAGACATGATGATTCTGAAGCTTCTCTTTTGAGAGTTAGTCAGGCTAGGGAGGAGAAGCCCCAGCAGGAGAGGCCTGTGGGGAGGCAAGAAAGTGCCATACATAACGTGGTGATGGTGGTGGACATGGGCATGGTGGTGGTGATGGTGATTGGGTGAGGTGATGTGATGTGATGTGTGTATTATCCGTCTTCCTGGTGCTGGCATGCACCACTCCTTGAGTCAAAGTGGGTTCTGAGGACTTTTGGGATTGTCACATAGTGGGAACAGATTGATTCTGATGATGTGGATGTAGGTCAGGTGTGTGATCAAGGTTTATGTGTGACACTTCTGGTTTTTTTTCTTTTGCCTCCTAATATGTGCATTCCCTATTGTGGACAGTTTTGAAGAAGGAAAAAATCATTTCAGGCTACAATCTCTGGTTATATCTGTGTTATCTTTGTTTATCTTTCTCTGTGTCTCTTGTTTAGAATGAGGAGTCGGACTTGGAGTTATTTGTGTCCTGAACCCTGTCTAATTCATCATCACTCAGAGAGCCAAACCCACTGCCTTGGGGTCAGTTTTCATTCATGGTTGGCCTTCCATCGGGTTTCCAGGGCTTTATATCTCAGCAGTAGGAGACTGCCCATCTTTCCCCGAAGGAGCCACTGGTGGCTTCAAACTCGTGTCCTTATGGTTAGTAGTATAGCCCTCTGTAGACATCACCAGAGCTCCTTCACCTCACATTGAGTGCTCAGTAAATACTTTTAGGAAGTCTGGATGAATACCTGGGTGAGTGAGTGGTGGTTTTGCAAGGTTCTGGTCTATTTGGCTTGATTGTTGTTGTGAACCATTGAGTCAGAACCAACCCATTGCTGACCCTCCAGTGTATTTTCAGAGGCAGTAAATCACATGGGAAGAGATTGCCCATCCTCTTCCTGCAGAGCAGCTGGTAGATTTGAATCACATGCCTTTGGGATTGTAGTACATCTTTTTACCACTGGGCCACCAGAGCTCCCTCAGATTTTAAAAATTGTGATCAAATACAACATGAAAGTGGCCATTTGAATAATTTTTAAGGGTGTCATCCAGTGGCATTAATTACACCGTTCTCTTAAAAAAAAAAAGAAAAAAAACCAAAAAAAAATTACACCGTTCTGTGCAACCACAACCACCGTTTGTGAAAATTTTGTCATTCTAAACAGAAACTTCATGCTCATTAACTATAATTCTTCTCCCCACTCTCACCCTTAGGTGACGAACCACTAATGCACTTCCTGAGATCTCTGTGTATCTGTTCTCAGTGGTTCTTATAAATAGTATCATGCAATATTTGTCCTTTTGTGTCTGCCTCATTTCACTCAGCATAATGTTGTAAAGATTCAGCCATGTGGAAGCATGTATTAGAATGCCATTTATTCCTTTTTTATGGTGGAAATGTTTTACTACATTGTATTTATTCATTCATCTCTTGATAGACATTTGGGTTATTTCTTTCTGTTGGGGATCACAGATAATAAATATTGATGTACAAGTGGCTGTGTGAGTCCCTGCTTTAAATTCCCTTGAGCATACCCCAGGAAGGGAATTGCTGGGTCAGAGGGTAATTCTAAGGATTCCTGGTGGTACCGTGTTTATAGTGTTTACTGCCAATTGAATGCCTGGGGATTTGGCTCCAGTAGTTGTTCAGAGGGAGAAAGATTCGGCAATCTGCTTTTATAAAGCTTTATGGTCTTGGGAGCCCTATGGGGTTCTTTCTGTCCTTACAGGGTGGCAGTGAATTGGCATGGACTCAATGACAGTGAGTTTTGGAGAGACAATTCTGTTTTATGTTTTGAGAAGGAACTGCCTGTGTAGCTTGATTATAATGTTGTCAAGATCAATCCCCTGATCATACTGTTATCAAGGTCAGTACTATGTCCCATAGTTGTTGTTGTTATATGCTGTCAAGTTGTAGATGACTCATAGCAACCCTATGAATGAAAGACCTGAACACTTGTATAACTTCATTGTTTCTCCAAGTTCATAGGGTTTCCAGAGACAAGCTATTATGGAAATGGATGCCACTCCTGCTTCTAAGTTTGTTGTAATTGGGAAGCTCCACCAAACACTGTCCACCATGGATAACCATTATCGCATTTGACACATCAGTGTCACAATGTTCAGCTTCACAGAAACCATGAGTTACCTCTGTATAGCAAATGGACAGACCAGTGCTATACCACAGGGCCTGAGGGCCGCAGACTAAAATCACCCACCTTTGGCTTGGTAGCATCACTTTCACAATGGTTTAGCATAACTAATAAAAATATTTGCCTTGGGAAGAATGCTCTTTTAAGTCTACCTAGATGGGATCAAATATTTAATAGCAACTTGAGAAATTAGATAGGAACCTTACGGAGCAGTGGCAGGAATTCTACTGTTGGAGATTTTGACAGAATCTGACAGGAAATTCAGGCTCTAAATTCTTACTGTAATATCTTCATGATATTTTCCTTTTCTCTCATCTCCCCTAAAGAGAGGGCCCTCCCCCTCAAGAGCTTCATGCCTCTTAGAGTTTGATCTTGTTGGGTGAAAAAGTTATGTCCCCTGAGTGTGAGACTGAAATGTCCCACACAATTCTGGTCAAGATCTCAAGACTAGTTGGTAAATCTCTGGATTATTAAGATTGTGAATGAAGTTCTGGGTACATTTTTAGACCTTTTCAGGTAGCTTGGTGTCTTGATTGGGATTAAGTTTTTTAAATCATTGTTCATTGAACTCCAACAATTCTGTATTTAAGAGTGCAGGATCAGACAGCAGTTTAAATCTTGAATTCACCACTTTCTAACATTTGTGACCTTGGACAAGTGCCTTCACTTCTCTGAGCCCCAGTTTCTCTGTTTGTAAAATGGGAATTATTTTGGTGTGGAGTGAAATAACTGATGGAAAGTGTTTGTAGTTATGTCTGCCATGTTGTTGCTATTCAACTCATGGTCCTTTTGTGGCTGTTATGTCTCCAGGATATGATGGGGATGATTAGGGTCTTATGTCACCAGCTTATGTTGGCCAGGCTTCATACCCTTGAGAGAGTACATTATCAGGAGTAACTTCCCTGTGGACCTCAAACTCTTCAACAATTTCAGGTTCATTTGCTTCATCCACCTCTCCTATGAGGACACCCAAGGAGCCTTGATTTGCAAGCCCGACTCAAACATCGGGTCAGTATGGAGAACACAATTGGCTGGGCTATCTGCCATGAAGGTACTGAGGGGCTTCCCCCCAATTACGTTCTACTTATAATCTCTTAGGGTGAGAGGTGAGGCTCTGCTGACATAGTGACTGTAGAATGGGGTCACGTATATGAGATGATGAGGATACTCAGGAAAGGATAAGGTGCAGACGCATTGTTGCTATGAGTCGTAGTTGACTCGACAGCACCTAACAACAACTGGTGAATATTTTTTGGGTTGATGCCTCTCTACACCTTGCAGGATAATGGGATCAATTGTCATCTTGTAAGAGCAACCCCCATCCACCTTTTAATGTCAGAGACCCTCTGATCTCGGATCCTTACCAGTGGTCTGCAATTTCTTCTGCATCTCCTTTTACCATGGAGGCGTGGTACCTCATTTTGGCAAGATCCTTTTGGAAATTTGAGGCAAGGAAAAAGGAATTGAATTTCTGGAGACTTCTCTCTTCTTGCCGCCTGCCATCATGGGTTGTGTAATAAAAAAAGAAAGAGGAAGAAGGATCAGAGTCCCTTTACACCACTCCGGTTGCCCATTGAGATCCAGTCTGCACACTTTCACCTTCATGAGGACCTTCTTATCCCCCTTGGCCACTCTCAGCAACAATTTGATGGGCAGAGACAGAAAATTACTCTGTCCAAGGTCCTGACACACTCTTTCTACTAAATCCCAAACTCAAAACCACTTGTTGTCAAGTCATTTCTGACACATGGTGACCCAAGTGTGCAGAGGGAAACTGCGTTTGTTAGAGGTGTTAAGGCTGTGATGTTTCAGAGGATTTTCACCAGGCATTTCTTTCGAGGTGTGTCTGGGTAGATTTGAACTATCAGCGTTTTGGTTAATAGTCAAGTACTTAAACATTTGTTGGCCCAGGAGTATTTCTGTTAAACAAAGTGACTCTTATTATTCCACATTCCCTTTGTACTTCTAATTATATTTACCTATTTCCTCTTCAGTAAAATGGGAATTATAAAGGTTCCTATATCCCAGAAGTGAGGATTAAATAATATAATGTGTGTGAAGTTCTAGGTATAGTGCCAGGTACATTCTCAGTGTTTAATTAATGCTGGCTTCCTCTCTTCTCCACTTCCACTATAATTTTGTACATATGTCTTATCTCCAAGGACAGCTAGTATTACAAATACAGCTGTATTACTTTCTGGCATATTCTTTCTGAATACCTTTTTCTCCAAGACTGTTTTGTTCAATACCTATGATATTCTCGCGTTTCAATCCTCTTTCGTTTCTCTGTCAGCATTTCATAATTTGGCTCCTGATCAAAGTCTTTGAGATAAAGTTAATCTTCCACATCAGGACTACTGAGATCTTTTATTATATGGCCTCTGTCTGTTTCTCTGACTGTATTGCAAGCACCTAGAGTCCAGGCCATGGATACTCTAGGCTCTGGAAATTTCCTGTTTCTTTTCTCTCCCCTTCTGCTTTTCTTTTGTGACCCCAGATTTGAAATCCACTGCCTTCTCTGGGGACTCTTGTCCATAAAATGGGCATAGTAATAATACTTGCCCCCATAGAACTGTGAAGAGTTAAATGAGTAAATAAATGGAAAGACCTCAGACCTGTTCCTTGTGCACAGCGAGCACCCTGGGATTACTGTCTGTTTTTATCAAAGAGCAAATGTTATTTCCCTCAGGAAGACCTTTCTGATTGCTGTCCAGGGTCTGATGTAGCATCTCGTTTCCTGGACCCTCTTAAGCTCATTCTGTGGACTCCTGTGCTAGCCCTCACCACACTCTGTAGTAACTTGTAGTTTTCTTTTCTGTTTCCCTCACTTGAACGTCTGGAGGGCTGGGGCGGTTTCAGCCACCACTGAACCTCTGGCCCAGTGCAGGTGGCCCATCATGCTAAAAGGATGGAGAAGCCCTTTGCCAGAGGGCCACTGTATCACAGCACCTTCGCTGAGGCCCGTGATCGCTGCAGCCAAGGAGCAGGCTGGGGAGGGAGCAGGGGCGGGGTTGCCACAGTAGAAAAGCAAGCATCCAGTGGTGTCCTGTGCTCTTAAAAGGAATTTTTGTCCTAACAATGTGTTTCTGGCTGTGCACAGTGCAGCGCTCACCTCTCCCCTCTTCCTGCCCTTTAAATAGTCTCTGCCCTTCCCACCTGAGAGCTTTGTCTGCACTTTCCCTGCTGCCTGGAAACTGGCTTCTACCTTCTTACCACACAGCCAATCCCTCTTTATCCTTTAAAGCTCAGCCTAATGCCATCTCTTCAGAGAGTCCTGTCTAGATTCCAACTCATAGCAACATTATGGGAACAGGGTAGTTTTTTGAGGCTATAGGTTTTTTGTTTTGTTTTGTTTTGTTTTTTCAATATCCATAGCACTTTACTGCAGATCTGGGAGGACAGTGAGATTCCTCTCAAAAACTGCCTCTGAGGCTTTAGACCTTTAATGGAGCAGCCTGCCATATCTTACTCCCCTGGCCTGGCTGGTAGGTTTGCTTTCTGTTAGCAGCCCAGCGCTTAACAAACAGCACCACCAGGGCTCCTTTTCCTGAATGACAGTGATTGTAACGTGTGTTTTTCCCCCTCTCATGTGGCCCCGAGTCTGTGAGCTCTGTGAGGCTATGTGATATATCTATCTATTCCTCCCTGTCACCTTGGGGCTGAGCACATGGCAGCACATAGCAGGGGCCTGTGAAGCGTGTTTACAGCGGGCGGGAAGGGCATTTCCTCACTTCATGAAGATTTCCATCTTGTCCTGGAGACAGAAGCCGGCCTCCTGGGCCACGCTGTAGAACTTGGCGTGCATGGAGGAACAAATACTCGTCTTACAGTGGAGGAGGTCCCGGGTGAGGCGGCTGTGGACAGAGGCGAGAAAGGCATCGATGATGGAGCCCAGGGAACATTTCCCAGTAGCTTCGGGGCTCCCACTTCAGCCTCCCTGGACCCCAAGATGGTCTGCATTTGGGGATCACCTCTACTCACCTGGTCTCTTTCACGTCATCTGAAGTCTCCTTCAGCATCCGCTTGGACAGTTGAAGGGCAGACCTGTGCAGGAGCATTCCAAACCAAAGCCACAACTCTGAGTCACTTCTAACTCCTAACAGCCCTACAGACAGAGTCGAGCTGCCCCCTAGCGTCCCCGAGGCTGTACATCTTTATGCGAATAGACAGCCTCATCTTTTTCCTGTAGAGCAGATGGTGGGACTGCCAGTCTTTCAACTAGCAGGCGGATGCTTAGACCACAGTGCCACTGGGGGTCCTAAGGCCTTATCAGTGACCCCAGAGTGGCATGTCTGGTGACATGGATGAAAACGGAATTTGGCCCTAAGAGACTCAAGTTCAAATTCTAGTTCCCCAACTTGGGTGGCCTCAGGGAAGATACTGATTTCAGTTTGCCAAATTTCCCTTTGCTCCTTTGCAAAGTGACATCTTGGCCTCACCTCCCAAGGCTGCTTCAGCGGATAAGGCAAGACCGCAGAGGCCAAGTGCCTCACACCCAGTGTCCGGGCACAGAGGAAGGACTTCTTTCCATCGTGGGCACTGCTGCTTGGTACCCTGGCTGTGAGATACAGCCCAGGGGTCCCCTGCCTTCTTGTCACGTCCATGGCTTCAGGGTTGGGTTATTCTGTGCCCCTCTTCCCAGTCTCCCACTTGACTTACTTTTTTGTCTTCTTCTGGGTTTGCTGCGTGTGACTCTCTCCACTGGTACTGCTGCTCTTATCACTGAAACATGAAGGGGGGATTTCAAGTTGTCTGACACCTTTTTTCCTGACAAGGATGCCTCCTTCCTGCCCCAACACTCCGTGACCCCTGCTCGCCTTCAGGGTTCACCACATGGAGGTCAACACCCTGTGACCCCTGCTCACCTTCAGGGTTCATGTCAGGGAGGTGGTTCTAACCAAGCCTCAGAACCATTGTGTTTGCTTCTCCTTTCCACCTTCCTTTCTGCCAAACTCCTTGCCTAGAAGCTTCTCCTTTTTCCTTCTCACCTGCCTAGATCTGACCTGTGCTTCATCGATCACAGTACATCCTGTCTACAAACCCTTAATCCTGTTGTCCAAGCTTTTTACCATTTGACTTTGCATAAAAATTGTCAGGGTTACACATTTTCTGGACCTGTGTTTTATTTGTGTTAAATTGATCTTTACATCTGGAGGATAAGTTCATTTTGAAACGTCACACTCTCTTCTTAATTTCAGTCAGCACTTCATACAAAGCCCAGGCCACATTTGCTGAGAGATGAGACTTCCTAGTTTGTCTTTGATGTCCCTGACCCCAGACCACCTTTTTGCTCAAGATTTCTCTTCTGTAACCTAAACGGAAGCCTTCAATATATACTGAAGTTCACAATCAAGAAAACAAAGATTCTCACCACTGGGCTGATAGGCAGTGTTATGATAAATGGTGAAGAGATTCAAATTGTTAACAGCTTTAGTTTACTTTGTTCCACAATCAACACTCTTGGTGCCAGCAGCCAGAAAGTCAAGAGATGAATTGCACTGGGGAAGTCTGTGGTCAGGGACCTGTCCAGAGTACTGAAGAGCAACAGTGTCAATCTAGAGACTAAGATGTGTCTGATCCAAGCAATAGTCTTTGCAGTTATTTGCTATGCTTCAGAAAGCTGGACAATGATTAGGGATGATAGAAAAAGTCTTTGAGCTGTGGTATTGGAGAGGAGTATTGAATATACCATGGACTACTAGGAGGACAAACAGGTTCATCCTAGAAGAGGGTGAAACCAGGCTGCTCCATGAGGGCAAGGATTCCGAGGCCTCATGTTGCAAGGAGGGACCAGTCCTTGAAGAGGGACATCATGCTTGGGAGGGTGAAGTGACAGCACAAGAGAGGAAGACCCTTGATGAGATGGATTAACTCAGTGACTGGGGTAATGGGGGTAGGTGTGTCAGAGACAATAAGATTGGCACAGGATAGAGCAGGGTTAAGGGCTGTTGTACATAGGGTCGCTATAAGTTGGCACATAACAACAACAGCAGCAGCGGCAACAACCAACAGGTCAGCATCAGCTGCTCCTTGGGAGGAAGAATTAGAATCTGTTTCTCAGGAGAATGGTGAGGTAGTCTTCTCACATTAAGATCTATAACCCTGGAAACCCTGTGAAGTCCATCATAAGTCAGAATCTACTCAGTAACATAGATTGTTGTGTGTGCTTTTGAGTCAGAACTGACCCACAGCTGATGCCATTTGACCTTTGCCTAGTGTACACTGCATGGGTTTCTTCAGCGACTGCTCCCCCTGTGACTTTGCCTGGTCAGGACTCCAGACAGGCTTGGAGTCCCCTGATAATGCCCATTCCTCCTCTGTGGCTTTCTCCCAGGTCTCTTCAGTGAGCTAGGCCTTCAGTATCTAGAGCCTTCTGTCTCTTTCATGTTTCTGATACTTGGAAAACTCACTTGATCTCTCGGTATGCATAGTTCTGCTGGTCTCTTTGATGAATGGCTGACCTTCCTCTTAGCCTTGAGGTTGACACTTCTTTAATTTCCAAGACCCCTCTTGATACAACAGGTCTTTGCTGTTTCTCCCAGAAACTACTGAGACTGAATGTAGAACATGGGCCTGGTGGGTGATGGAGCAAGTCCCCAGTCCACCTCTCTGGGACACAGTACCCTAGTAATGATTCTGGATTCTAACCAGCTATACCTGCCTCCTGCAGCTTCCATCCCTGGGGAGGTCCTGACCTTGACCTCTAGTCTGAAGATCTTTTCTACTTTGCTAGAACCTTGGTAGTGGCTTGGAGAGTAGGTTGAGAGAGTGAGGCAGGGAAGTGGGATTATAAGGTGATGGTAGACAGGCAGACATGAGTTAACAGCAAGAGACTCTTTGCCCGTTTCATTGTCTCCTTGCCTTGAGTTCCAGCTACACTCATCTTCTCTAAGCTTCTTTAAGCTTCCTCCTGCCACAGGCTCTTTGCACATGCTGTTCTCTCTGCTTAGAGCACTGCTCTCACATCCGAGGTTAGCTACTTCTTCATCATTTGTTCATCTCTCTGCACTTGTTAAGCTGAGCCTTGGCTAGAAAGCTGATTCTAAACACTGGACCAATTCGCCTTTAGAACACAGTTCAGTGTCATGGTTATATGACTAACTATGAGCTTATTTGATAGATGTGTCTCCCCCCACAAAAACTTCTTAGCCTGGTGTCCACAAGCAGAGATCATGAGGTGCAGATGGCCTTCCTTCTAACTGTAACCAAGATGGAGGTCACAAGTGTTCACAGCACATACTCCAATTGTGGGCATTTTTTAAATTTAAAAATATTCTTAACTGATTGTCATATAAGAATTCATTTACATTATGTGTCATTTCTATACATTGTGTTCTGTACAATCCCTCATTTATTTAAGTTGTATTTCATATAGTCTTGTATACACTGTATCCCATATGATCAGTTACCCTGCATCTATGTCCGTTATTAAACTGTCTTTTCAAGTCCTCATTGAAGGTTTCCCATATCCTCCTCCTCCCCCAAGCCCACCCACAAAACTATCCTGGTGACTTCAGCCCTTCTTCTTGTTCCATGTGGGCGTTATTTTTGAAAACTCGTTTATACTCAACACTAATCCAAAGTTATGATAGTCTTTATATCTGCTATTAAGTCTTATTATAAAAGGCCTCTTATAAGGACACTTATAGATTACTGTATTGCAAAATTGTAGTATAGTAAGGTTTAGTACTATAGAGTGCTTTGTATTTTATGGGGGGGAAAACCCGTGGTTGCTACAGAGTTGGTTCAGACTCATGATAAACGCTCTGTATGCCGGAGCCAAACTGTGCTCCTCAGAGTTAACCATGCCTGAATTTTTGGGAATTTGGACCATTGACCGAGCCTTTCTTCCAGGATAGTCTTCAACTGCTAACCTTTTGATTCGCAGTTCAGCATGTTAAGTATTTCCCCACCTCAGAACATGTACTTAAAGACATTTTTCCCCCTGGAAGTCTCATCATCCTCAGACTGCATCAGACTTCCAGGTATCCCAGGCACGGAAAGGATCATGTGGTCCAGACATTGTCTCATTTGTCACCAAATCCCCAGGGCCCAGCATGGTTTCTGGTACATGTAGGGGTAGGAGGAAAGAATAATTGCATTATGAATATATGCCTTGGGATGGACCACTCCTTCGCCCATTACAGATTCCCCAGATTAAACAATAACCATGTCATGTGGTCTGTCCCCCCACCCGAGGGCCCTGGGAGAGTTCACTTCATGGGATGTAATTCTTGGGGAGGAATGTCTGAAATCATCTCTTTTCCCAGGCGTCCAGAGGCTTATCTGTGGGACGTCACAGGGAAGAGAGACCAGGTTCCCTCCTTACAGCCCCACTTCCCCCCGTCTGGTGAGGACTGCCTCTGCCGAGGCCTCTGCGCCAGAAAGGGTCCCCCCCAACTGCTGCAGGCTCTGCTCCTCCTACCTGGACTTGAGGGTAGTCTGCATCTCCTTAGCCCTGACTCACTCTGTACCTGAGGGTCCCCCCCCACTGCTGCAGGCTCTTCTCCTCTTACCTGGACTTGAGGGTAGTCTGCATCTCCTTAGCCCTGACTCACTCTGTACCTGAGGGTCCCCCCCCACTGCTGCAGGCTCTCCTCCTCTTACCTGGACTTGAGGGTAGTCTGCATCTCCTTAGCCCTGACTCACTCTGCACCTGAGGGCCCTCTCCACACACTGCTGCAGGCTCTCCTCCTCTTACCTGGACTTGAGGGTGGTCTGCATCTCCTTCAACCCTGACTCACTCTTGTTTTGCTTCATCATTGACACGAGGCTGCAAAGCAGGAGGGAGTGTCTTAGCCAGGGACTGAACATATGGCCTTGGGGCAGGAGAAAAGTGCTCTTTCTAAAAGCAGGGATCATTGGTCCTCCTGGGTGGGAGAGTCCTGCAGAGAATTGGCTGATTATACAGATTCAGGGGCCTTGCCTCCATACACTTGGTCCTATTAGTCCTGGGACAGGGCCTTAGAACCTGCATTTGATTCCCCTCCCACAATTCTGTCCACATGGTTCAGGACATATTATCTGAGAACTCCCCATAGGCTCCTCAGCTCCCCCTGTGATTCAGATAGATTCATTGTGACCGGGATGAGGGATATTTGAGAAGCAACAGGAAGTTCTGGTGGCCTAGTAGGTAAAGGTGGGCAACCAACCCACCCAAACTCAAAGGTGAGCAGTTTGAATCCACCTCTTTGAGAGAGAGAGATGGGCAGTCTCTTGCTGCATGATTTATAGCCTTTGAAAACCTGCTGGAGGGCGGATTAGCTGTGACCCTTCTCAGCCTCTCCTACTCCTCAACAGCAATGTGAAGGGGGGGAAGTACAAGAATGGAACAGGGCTAGTCTAGTGGTAAGAAGCTGTGCAGCAGTCTTAAAGGCACATGGCCAGCTCCTCCATGGTAGAAGGATGGGCAGTCTCCTCCTGTGCAGTTTATTGCCTCTGAAAACCCACTAGTGGGTCAATTCTGACTCAGTGGCACACAATAAGTAGTTTTAGAGGGTTTGAAAAGAAAAAGCCACCGCCTTAGACAACTAGGGGGCAGTCTGGCTTTGAGATAAGGAGGTGAACTGGCTGGCTTCTAAGGGTTCGTAATCCTCCTCCCTGAAATCGACATTTGCCTTAATCGGTGTCTGAAGTGAGAGAGGAATTCAGATTCTAAAATGAGGAACAAGAATGAATGCCTAGCTTTCCCTCACTCTGGCTTCTCAGCTCCACGAGGAAGCCTTCAATATCTACTGCCTTAGCGAGAGATTTAGGGAGATTTTTCCCTCTCGGGGGAATTGATGAGGATCAGAGATTTCAACAGGTTCTTGCTCTGTAACCATGGTTATTTTCTCATTAAAGTAGAGACAGAGACCATGTGACGAGCCTTCTGAGAGCTGGGTTCTGGTGTAGTTTCTGTCTTTGAAGACCATAAATCAGTCAGTCGTGGTTGAGCTTCTCTGTCGATGAGATGAGGTGATGGGGATAGTTGACATACCTGTTACCTGTGTTAGCAGGCTGTTACCAAGAAGCCCAGGGATGCTGTGTGTGAATTAAAACACGTGTTCACCCAACTACCATCAGCCCAGCACTGCCGTTCCCTGGGTGCTTACTATTTGCTCGGCTCACGCTATTTCAACCAGTGTTTAAAATGACTCATTGAAATAGGCCTTTTTTCTCTAACAACACCAACAATCCAAGGATAATATGATTCTCATTACAGCTCTTTTGAATATGATACTGATGAGTTTCCTTTTACTGAAGTAGAACCAGAGAGGTAATGTAGATGGCCCAATGGCCCACAGCAAGCGGATGTTAAATGGACAGAAGACAACAAAGTGGTGCTTTGACTGCTGCATAAACCCATTTCTAGATGGAAAGACTGACAACTGGGGAATGGTTAAATGACTCATCCAAGGGCACCAAGTTTGAACTCTGTTCAGTCTGGTTCTAACACTGGTGCTCACGCCTGCCATTTTGCACACAGAAAGGGGTCTCATTGAACTGATACTTGACCAGCACTGTCTGTCTGTAATGTTGATAAATCAGACACTGAAGCTCGGGTCCTCTGGGCCAGTGCCATCTCTGAGCACCTCCAAGTGCCACTCTCACGAGCCCCAGTGCGAGTTGAGGCAGCTGCAGACAAATCCATCATTAACGAGCAGAGGCGGGCATGATGCATGGGAAAGTGCTTGGTGAACTGTAATTATGGTAATAACAATAACCAATAAGTCAGAGCTGGCATCCCAGTACGCTGAAGGGGATGATGAACCTCTTGTGGTGCCTCATTTGTTTTTGGGATGTAATTTTCTTACTTCAAGGAAATCTACCCTTGGGAAGGGAACTTCTCTGCTCAAGCCTGTGTGTTTACATGTCAGGAGTTTCTGTGGATCAGGCTTTCCATCAGAAGGAGGTCTGATGACACCTACTTATGAGCCAATCTCGTTGGTCGCTGGCTTCCTGTGGCTCTCACTAAAACCCAGAACCCTTGCGGTGGCTTCCAAGGGCCCGGGGTGCCCTGTGCCTCTCTCCATCCCATTCCGGTTTCCTTCCAGTTCCTCACAGGTGCCTTGGGCCCCTTTGACCATGGGCCTGTTTTTCGTCATCTTCTGCCTGAACTTCAGCTGGTCTGCTTCCTCCCACTCCATCCAAATACCAGTTTAAAGTTTCTTCATTGAGGGAGAGGTCACTGACCCTCATTTCTTCTCCTGTCTGGTTCACACCTCTCTTATTTACTCTCAGGCTTTCCTTTCATTGTACTCATCCGAGTAATAATCAGTACATGTTGTTGTTAGGTGCCAACTGCGACTCATAGTGACCCTGTGAACCATAGATCTTGAACCCTGCCCTCTCCTGCACCATTCTCACCATCTCTGATATGCTCATTGTTACAATCACGGCCAATCCATCTTGATGAAGGTCTTCATCTCTTTCTTTGACCCTCTACCTTTCCCTGCATGGTGTCTTTTCCCAAAGACTAGTTCTTTCTGACAACATGTGAACATTTGCAATGTGCATGAGACGAAGTCTCACCATCCTTGTCTCTAAGGAGCACCCTACAGATTCACGAGAAGAGAGTACGGTTAGCTTAGGATTCCTGGGAGCCAGTGTAGCAGTGGTTATGAGAGTGGCTTTTGGAATTAGGAAGACCTCATTTCAAGTTGTGGCTTTACCATCCATTAGCTGGGTCATCTTGAGCAGGTGACTTCAGCTCCCTGAGTCTCATTATTTGTAAAAGAAAGACAGTAGTTCCTACCGCATAAGGTGGTCATAAGCATGTAGGGAGATGATGCACCTGAACCAATTATAGAACTCAGTGATGGGTAGAGAGAAAAGGTTTTAAAACTGGGACCTGGTGTTCTTATGTCTTACTACTATTTGCGGGTATTCTTTCTCTGCCCCAAGAGTCAGAAGAACATACCTGGGCACTCTTTTTTGAAACTCATCTTCTAGGGTTATTGTCCTTCGTGCGTCCTCCCAGACCATCTCCAGAAGCTTCTGCAGATCTGATGGGAACATGAAGGGTCATTATCTTAACCACCTCCTGGGATAAGAGTGTACAGGGGTGACTTCCAGGGAGCTGGTGAGGAATTAGAACAGGGGCCCCAAAGAGGCAGCCCACAGTGCTGTAATCTGACCATGGCGCATCCTGCTTGACCTTCTTCAGTGATTCTCCATTTTTCTCTGGACAAAGTCTAAATTCCTTCATGTGGCCTACAGTGTTCTGGTTTCTCTTTCTTTTTTCTCTTTCATCTTATCTCCTTCTTTCTTTCTCTGTCTCTTTCTCTCCCCCCCACTCTTTCCTCCCCCTCTCTACCCTTCTCTTCTTCCCTCTCTCCCTCTCTCTCTTTCTCTTCTTAAAATCTGCTATAGCCAGAGAAAACGATTTCTAATTGAGAATAGCTCAGTCCAGGAGACTCTCCGTCCCAAGCTGGAGACTCTAGACAGACTCTAGCTCAGCTATGTGTTTGGTTTGCTGTAAATCTCAACTTTTTAAAACTGGAAGATTTCATGTGAAAATCTAGACTTCTAGCTTTTCTTAGAAATAGCAATCCGAGATGGAATCCATCTACCCTTATTTCTGCTGCATCTCACTTTTAGACAAATGTGTGCTCACCAATTTTTGCCACAGTTCTGAACTCTGATGTTTCCTATTGTCATATTTAATGTTGCGTTTTAGATAGTAATTAAAGATTTCTTTGTAGATTCTCAAAAGTCAGAAAATGAAATATAGTTGGGGTGAACTATGTGCTTAAGAAAAGTAAGAAAGTAAAGCATCATCTTAAATGTTTCATCATAAAGATACAGATTTGCAATGGCTTTGCCCCCTTCTGTTCTTTCCAATCCCATCTTAGTGTGGATATCAGCATTGCAGGAAACCAGGGCTGTTGGGTTACTGTCCATGGTGCTGAAACATCACACACCAAGAGTGATCACTTGCATTTATTTTTGCTAGAATTCTTGTCAATCTCCTCACCTGTGATTCAATCCCCCTGTGATTTAAGAACCAGGAGAGTGGGGCCAAGTGAGAAGAGAGACAAACAGATGCATAGGCAGAGAGATGGATGTGCAGACCACCTGGGAAACAAAGGCATTGAAAGAAACACAGGAGAGAGTGAGTGCGAGAGAAGGGGAGGGACTTGTTTAGAATTATTACAGGAACCATACAGTTACTGGAATTTGAACAATTACATGGCGGGTACTAAACATATATTTTTGGCAGTGCAAAGCTGTTTGAAGCCCAATATGAACAAACATCTTTGATTGACATCATTGAATAACTGTAAAGTAATAAGAGTGGTTTCACTTTCTATTTTAATGAAATAAATGGATGATGTCTGCACTGTCTCAGAACAGGCAGAAGAGTGGCAGCTATTGATTCCTTATTTGTAAAGGGAGGACAATAATCTCCACCTGGCACATCTGCCCTCCCCACGGTGGGGTTCTGGAAGTCTCAGTCTCGGCTCTGCCGAGCACTCCTGGCCACCATGCTTCCATATGGAAGCACTCCAGTCCTTTATCACAGCCCTGGTCTCACGGCGAGTCAACTGTGTGTCCACTCCCCTGTCTTCCGCTCTAGGCTGTGAGCTCCTGGAGGGAAGAAACGACATCTTATATGTCTTTCTGAGGATAACACAAAGCTCTGCATTCGGCCAGCCAGTCCTTGCTAAATGAATAAGTGAATGAATAAGGGCAAAAGAAGGAAGACTGGGGAGAGTGTGACATCAGTGGAGACACTTTTCACCCCTTATTCGATGGCTAGTTTTGATTCAAGCTCAGTATAAATCAGGATCCATATTTGAAAGGAAAGCCAGAATGCCAGTGTTTCCCAAGGCTGTTGGTGTGCAGTGTTGTAAGGACAAAGGAGAGGTGGTTCCCCTGACTGATTTTGGCATCATCTAGGCTGTGAGGTCACTGCTTGTCTGTCAGTTCATTGTGCTGTGCTGATTCCCATATTACTATTACTGTGATGCTGGAAGACTACACCCTTCAGTATGGATTACATACCAATGTAAATTTCCACAAGTGGACCAAGAAACATCATTCTGATAAACAGAAAAGGCTGAAGGTGTCAAGGATTTCATTTTCTTCAGTCCAAATCAACATCCATGGAAGCAGCAGTCAGGAAATCAGGTGGCCCATCTGAAAGCTTGCTTCACTGACTTCTTTAAAGTGTGAGGAAGAGCAAGGGTGTCACTTTGAGGAGTAAGGTGTACCTGTCCCAAGCCATGAACTTTTCAGTTGCCTCATCTTATGCTTGTGAAAGCTCAACAATGAGTAACGAAGAGTGAAGAAGAATTTAATTGCCTTTGCATTCTGGTGGTGGTGAGTATACCATCGACTGCCAAAAGAGCCACCAGATCTTGTCCTGGAAGAAATTCAGCCAGTGCTGCAGAAATACAATACTCCTTAGAAGCAGAGTTGGTGAGACTTTGTCTCACATACTGTGGTCATGTTGTCAGAAGGGCTTTAGGAAGAAGATATTCTATTTAGGAAAGCCGAGGGTTATCAAAAGAGAGGAAAACTCGGAAAAAGGTGCATTGACAGTGGAGCTGAAGTGACGAGCGCAGCAGAGTGAGGATGGCACAGAATCGTCAGGGTTTTGTTGTGTTGTACACAGGGCTGCTCAGTGTCTGGGCCAACTCTGCATCACAGCATTTAGGCATTTCCCCCTCCAGCCTCTGAAGCACAAGTGGTTTCTTTTCCTAGTAATTTGAGGACATTAATCCATTTGTCCTGCACATGGCCTTTATTTTGGACTGGCGATGCCTGCCTCTTCCACTCCCACTCACCTAAAAGGTATATTCAGAGCCTGTTGTTGTTGTTAGGTGTCATCATGTACTACCCATAGAGACCCTCTGAACAATGGACCTGAATCTTATCCTATTCTGGCTGGTCCATCTAGTTTCTTTCCTTCTCTTGGGGACCAAGAAACAACATCTGATTGCTCTACCATCCCTATCACCACCCATATGCAAAACAGCTTAGAGCTGGGGGGGGTACCAGGAAGTGACTCCTGTGAGCTGGCACCGTGGGGAGAACCGTGTAGAAAGCGCTGCATGGCACATAAGGACCACAGATTTGTTCTCCCCCCGCCTTTCTTTCTTGATAGTGATGCCATTGGGCAGAGTGGTGCCCTCCAATATGAAGCTTCATCCATCATGACGCTGAGGTCGGCTAATTGAGTGAAACAGAACAAGCTTTGGGACTGTGAGGATCATGGCTATTCCTGAAAACTGCCCCAGAGGGGAAGCTTGTGTGGAGCAGGGGCAGGTGCCCCGAAGAGCACAGTCCTGTGAAGGATGTCCACCCTAGAGGCTGCTCCCGCTTGGTCCTGCACTTCCCAGGGCCGTGGGGTTTTGGCTGAGATGTGCCCACACTGAATATTTGCAGTTACTAAGCCATCTCCTCGGGGTGGGGGGAAGTTGTAGCCTTTTCCTCTCTCCTTCCATCCCTAACTCATCCAAAAATAACACCCCTGATTGATGAAATGCATTACCTCTTCTCTTTGGGGGAAAGGTCAGGAAGATCTTGAGTCCTCTGGCGGTACAAATAATGGGCTAAGCTGCTGATTGAAAGGTTGGAGGTTTGATTCTACCAAGAGGCACCTTTGAAGAAAGGCCTGCTCATCTATTAAAAAAAAAATAAATCAGAACAGATCTTCTTGGATACACTTGGGGTCACAATGAGTTGGAATCAACTTAACAACTGGGTTAGTTTTAGAATTTGATTATCTGGGTCAGTGGGGCCATTGGCTTGTTTCAGGCTTTTTTCCTTTTTAGTCTCTGTTTAGATAACTTTCTTCAGTAGTCATAGCTTCAAGGCCTGCAGAAGGAATGGCCTGGGCCTTAGTGTCTTTGGCATACTCCCCTGTCATTGATTTGGGAGGGGACCAGCCCATGGAGAGGCCACAACTTGCTGTCCCCGGTGATTAGCATCCACAAAGACTTCATTATGCAGCCAGTCCGGGAAATGAGACCTTGGTCAAATGGTGCGTCTCTCAGAATGGGATTCATGAATTCAGAATCAATTTGAGGAGGTTTTAGAAGGCGGTGAAAGCCTGGGAAATTAATCTACTTTTGTCAAGTCTGTGACAAATGAGATGAAGGTTAAATTATAAATGGAGGAAAAGGCTGGGAGGGGATGGAGGGGAAGGACTTCTTCCCAGGGGGTAGGTCTCTGTTGCAAATAGTCTCCCAGTCCCAGTGCGCCCCAATTGCATGCCAAAGGCGAATAGGACACTTCTGAGCCAAATCTGCAGGGAGCTCACATCCCTTCTCTTCTCCTTCCTTAGAAATCCCATTCAAATTCTTTTTAAATTAGAACAAACATTTACTGGCAGTATTTTTCCAACGTCCATTGCAGCTCTTTGTGTGCCTTAGGCCAAGTTCTGGCCAATGAGAGTTTAGCAGAAGTGCTATATGGGGTTTCTGAGGAGGCTGTTTATTCAGCTGTGAGTGAGTATTTTTGTCCTTTGCCAACTTCCTTCTGCTTCCATCCTAATATACATGTGATAGCTGGAATTTTGGCAGCCATGTTGGGTGTTGGAAGTGACCTTGAGGATGGTTGAGAAGAGAGATAGAAAGAAAAGGATCCTTGTTGATCTTTTAGATCAACATTGATCCTGGACTGGCCTTTGATCTATTAGACAAATAGCCTTTGAACTTCTGAAAGTACCAATTTTCAGGTCTCTTAGAGCCAAAAGATGTTTCTACAGGGTACACTAAGATGCACTTGAAAATCAAGGGTCCTGGGGGTGTCAAGAAAAGACACAGAGAAAGGAACATTTAAGTTGGGTTTTGAAGGTTGGGTAGGAATCCACAGGCTGAAGGGACAAAGAAAAAAGAGCATGTGAATTGCTTAAGAAGGGAAAGCTGATGTGTGTGGTTGTCATGTTGAAGTTAAGGTGTTATGTCATGAGAGCTGAGTCCATGACGACATCATCTGCAATGCCTGGGCTTTGTCGTGAGGTACAGAGGAGTCAGTGACAGGTGTTAACTGGAAGATAATGTATCAGACTTGAGATTTTGACATATCCCTCTGGCTCATCGTGGAGAATAACTCAGTGGGTGAGTGAGGACAGGAGACTAATGAGACACTATTACAGTCATTTAGCTGATAGGTGAGGAGAATATGGATCAGGGTCTTAACTCAGGTACTTCAGAGGCCAGGTTCCAAAACCCTAGTGACATGGGCTGGTATAAGAAAAAGCAAGCTTCCACTTTGGCTCAACTTTCATGTCTTGTTTTTTTCTAGAAACTTGGGTGAAATACAGATCCTCAGTGTTGAGTGCTGACCTTGACTACCTAATCACCAATCTGAAATGCAAACTTGAGGCAGGAAGGCCTGAAAGTCTCAGTTCCAGGCACACAATTGTTGGGTGCCATTGAATTGGATCTGACCCATAGCTGACCCTTCAGAGGATTTACAGAGGCTCTGAATCACATGGGACCTGCTAATCATTCTCCTGTGGAGCAGCCAGTAGATTCGAACTGTATACCTTTGGATTGGCAGCACAGTTCCTACCACAGAACCACAGAGCTCCCTGGTCACACAGTAGGTTCTCAATAAATATGTGTTTAATTAAAGAAGTTCCCTAAGAAGTGCATGTCTGTCATTTATCTTGTCTCCTCCTCATCTCAGACAACACTCTTATTCAAGAAACACTTCTCAGGGCTCAGAACCTTCTCTAGCCCCTCTCAATAAGGAAGGTGATGTGGATTTTTTTCATTTTTGGAGCTTTTGCCCACTCCTGTCTTTGACTATCAGAGCCCCACTCTAGGTTGATCCCTGGGCCTCTGACACACTGATATGCCTTGACCTCCAGCTCAGTCTTCTCAAATCTATGCTACTTTCTGGTCCCTGACAGGTGAGCCCAGTCTGGCGTTGGTTACCTCTGGCAGTCTAGATAGTCCAGAGAACACTAGCCGAGCAGGAAAATCTCAGCATGGATCTCACTGAGGGGACAGAGTGGATGGTGGTTTGCTAGAAAAGTGTCTCCTGCACCAGAGTCTAAGATTTTGTAGTAGACAGGCACTCCAAGTTTGCCCCTCTCTCTGTCTTCCTGCCTGCATCATCCCTTTCTGTGCAACTCCCTCTCGCTGTTTCATACGTCTCTTTGCAGTATAAGCTCAAGCTACAGATTTCTGAAAATGTCTGTTTTCTTTGACTTATGAAATCTAGTGGCAGTTCTCTCCAGCTGAGTTCCAGACATTACTTACCCCCTAAGAATAGTAGGTAGGATTGTGTGTACGTGTTTGCAGTTTTTCCTGAAGAGAAGTTCTGTAGCTTTTGATGGGTTCTCTCAAAGGTCTATGCCACCCAAATTCTCACAAAAGGCTTGTTCTGGGGTGAGCATCACAGAGGCATTTATCTTGTATATATGAAATGTCCAGAAAAAATAAGTCCCTGGAGACAGAGTGAGGTTTGTGCTTGCCTAGCACTGGGGGTGGGAAAGAAGAGATGACAAATGGACTAGGCTTCTGGGTCTGACTCTATGCAGATATTCTAAAATAACACAGTAGTGATGGCTGTACTGCAGGTTATTGTGGTACAGCCCTCAAGTTATTGGATTGTACATTTTACATGAATGAATGATTTGTAAATGCAATGTCAGTAAAGCTGTTTTAAAGAGTCAACAACAGATTTCAAAGCCATAGTCTAGATAAAGAATGAGAGATCACATTGCTACATTTAAAATGGCTTCTGTTGAAATGATATTTGTTACATTTGAACTAACTGAAATATATTGTTAAAAAATTCCCCAAAAGATAGATGATAATTATTGACTCAGCTCACCAGCTCAGATTAAGTCCTAACATGTATTTTTGATCTCCAATGGAGAGAGCTCTGGTGGCCTTGTGGGTAAGGAGTTGAACTGCCAACCTAAAGGAAGGCAATTTGAATCCACCAGTTGCTCCACAAGAGAAAGGTGGGCATTCTCCTTCTATGCAGTTTACAGCCTCTGAAAACTCTAGAGGGTCACCTAACAAACAACAAATGGAGGGAAGTGAGGAGATGGTGTTTGTATCCAGGTAAGAGAGCAGAGCAGATGGTTGGATCTGAGGCAGGACTTACTGCTATGGAGAGGTTCCTCATCTGGCTTGGTTGAACTTGACTCATTGTCCTCAACATCCTTGCTCCCAGTGCCCTGGGTGGCCACACTTTGGGGCTCATCTGAGCCGGGGATAATGGACATCATGCTGCTTTGGGGGGATGATCCCCCACTGGTCCGGGACAGGCTGACGGTGGAGCCTCGCCGGCTCGGCTTGCGGGTGGTGGTGCGTAGAGCGGGGATTTTGAATTTTTTGTTTTGCTGAGAACAGAAGAAAATGGGGTTTCAGAAAGATTAGGAGGAGGGGCAGAAGGTGAGAAGACAGGCAAGCAGGTAGGGAGGAAAGAAAACATAAATAAAAGTCCTTCTAGCTCTTAAATCCTGAGATGAGTCTGAGGTTTCAAGGAAGAACATTTAAAAGCACACATTATTTGTAGCAAACAGCAGCTAATTTAGTCTGTCCTGTTATTGAGTATTAAAGTTGCCAAAGTAGCCCTGAAAAGAAGCTAAAAAAATGCCCAGTCATGTTGCCACAGCCTGGGGCAGTTGGTGGCTATATTTTTATTTTTTTAAAATAACCACCGGAGCTGTTTGTTTTCTGTATAAAAAGATTGGTTTGTTTTCTTTAGCGACATCTTGGTTTTAATCCCTAATTGGACTTTTCAGCCTCTTGTTCACCAAGTTGATTTCTGGGCGTAAAAGAACCAAGGGCTGCATTTACAGCAGTTTTCTAAAGGACACAAGGTAGAGAAAATTCCAACCCTGAACTCTGAGGAGGGTATTGAGGGAAGCAAGCACGTTTGTCTGGGGAAGAGGGCATTCTAGGACCTAGGGGGAGCCCAGGTTGTAGTGGGCAGGGAGGATAGGACGGAGAGTCTTGGAGAGCTCAGAGACCCTGGTGGCACTGACAGTAAAGATACATGGTTGATATCTGACTGGTTAGAGGTTCAAGTCTATCTAAAGGTACCTTGGAAGAAAGGCCTGGTGATCTACTTCTGAAACTTCTGAGTAGTATTGTTCCACGCTAAAACACATGGCATCACTCTGAGTCAGAGTTGACTTGATGAAACCTAGGTGAGCAGGAAAGTTCTGCAAGGGGAATGTGGACCTTAGGAAGGAGAGGAGGCAGAGAGGACTGGCTACTTTGTGTATGTATGTATGTGTGCATGTCCATACACTCACTCACTCACTCTCTCTCTTTCTGTTTGGCCTCTCTCCCAGATACACTGTGTGGAGTTTACATGTCCTCAGTCTTGTTAAGATTGTTAGGATTCAAGCGTCAGACAAGCTTTCTAATCTGTCCAGGGTTCCACAGCTAGAAATGGCACCTGCATTTGAACCCAGATTGTGTTGATATTGAGCAAATTGTTATGCTGTTCTTTTTTTTTACTTTGTGCCGATGGCTCTGTGTGGCATTTACACTACTAGAGAGAGTGGAAAGAGGGTAGGACCTCAGCTGCTTCTGAGGGAAGAGCTAAGTACAGATCCTGGGCCAAAGTATGCACTCAATTATTAGATGCAGTTTGGTTTCTTTTGAGACATTTAAGTGAAAGCTTATAGAGAGCTGACCAAGATCATTGGAGGAAACACGGTTTGGTACTGAGGGAAGAGAGAGGACTAGAGATCACTCAGCATTTAATAAAGTGTAAGGAGCTGCAAAGGATTGGCCATCCACTTCTGAAAAGACAGGCCTTCGAAAACTCTATGTACAGTAGAGCACACTTAGACTATTGCTAGGACTAGCAGACGTGGCAATTGAGACTGAAATCTTAGGAATACAGAGAAGTTGTGCCAAGAAATTTGGAGAACAGCCAGCTGGCCCATTGACTGGAAAAGATCGATTTTTGTTCCCATTCCAAAAAAAGGTGACCCAACAGAGTGTGGAAATTATTGAACAATATCATTGATATCACATGCAAGCAAGATTCTGCTGAAGATTATCCAAAAACGTTTGGAACAATATGTCAACAGAGAACTGCCAGATGTGTAGGCTAGATTTAGAAGAGGTCGTGGTAGTAGGGATATTATAGCTAATGTCAGATGGATTTTGGCAGAAAGCAAAGAATACCAGAAGAATGTCTATCTGTGCTTCATTGACTATGCAAAGGCTTTTGACTGTGTGGATCACAATAAGCTGTGGCTGACTCTAAGAAGAATGGGAATCCCAGAACATTTGATTGTGCTAATGCGAAACTTATACTTGGACCAAGAGACAGTTGTCAGAACAGAGCAAGGAGACACTACATGGTTCAAAATCAAGAAGGGTGTCCGTCAGGGATGTATTCTGTCTCCATACCTTTTCAATCTGTATGCAGAACAGATCATCTGAGATGCTGGGCTATACGAAGAGGAATGTGGCATCAGGATTGGTGGAAGAATTATCAACAACCTGCATTATGCAGATGACACAACCCTGCTTGCTGAAACTGAGGAGGACCTGAGGCGCTTGCTGCAGAAGATCAAGGACTACAGCCTCCTATATGGACTGAATCTAAATGTCAAGAAAATGAAGATTCTAACCACTGGGCCAATTGGCAGCATCAGCATGGGTGAAGAGATTGAGATAGTTAACAGTTTTCATTTACTTGGCTCCACAGTCAGTGCTCTTGGTAACAGCAGCCAGGAAATCAGGAGATGAATTGCATTGGGAAAGTCGGCTGTGAGGGACCTCTCAAGAGTACTGAAGAGCAACGATGTCAGGCTGGAAACTAAGGTGTGCCTGATCTGGGCTATAGTCTTTGCAAGTATGTGCTATGCATCAGAGAGTTGGACAGCGAATAGGGCTGATAGAAAGAGGATTGATGCGTTTGAGCTGTGGTGCTGGAGAAGAGTGTTGAATATACCATGGACTGCTAGGAGAACAAACAGGTTTGTCCTGGAGAGTGTGAAGCCAGAGTGTTCCCTGGAGTCAAGGATTCTGAAGCTTCATCTGACATATTTTGGGCATGTTGCAAGGAGGGACTGGTCCTTGAAAAGGGACATCATGTTTGGCAGAGTGGAGGGGAAGCAAAGGAGAGGAAGACCTGTGGTGAGATGGATTGATTCTGTGACTGGAGCGGTGGGAATAAGTGCATTTGAGATGGCTAGATTGGCACAGGATAGAACAGCATTTAGAGCTCTTGTACATAGGGTCGCTATGAGTCGCAAGCGACCCGATGGCACATAACAACAACAACAAGGAGCTGCACGGCCAAGCCAGAGACAAGCAGTTTGGGTCCACCAGCTGCACCAGGGGACAAAGATAGGCAGTCTCCCTCTCTCCATGCAATTTACGACCTCTGAAAACCTGCAAATGTCAGGTATGCATCAGTCAGCTTCGACTCAATGGCACATAACAACACTCCTAACAACATAGAGAAATTTGCATTTCATAGGATTCCTTTTAGGGAATCCTCTGTAGGTGGTCAGAAGTCTTCTGAAGTACAGGCAGAACTTCCTTGCAAGAGGGGAAGGATTTTTTGGTTGCACAGGTGAGTAGGTGGGGTAAGACAGAGAAGAGATTGATGTTGCGCCCAGAAGATAGGGGAAAAGACAGACTGCGAAGCTTAAGACACTGCTTCTCCCCTTGACATTCCCACCCTCTAAAGCTTAAGCAAAAACCTACACAGAAGACCAAATGCTTTAGAGTGTAACACTCTGGGGAATTGGCATTTGAGCTAGCATTAACCAGATCTCCATGGGGCCCTGTGAGTGCTAAAAGTGATGGTGATAGAGGGGAAAATAAAATACCATAGGTAGGGATGCTCTCCTTTCTGATAAATTAGAAGCTTGATAGAGTTTCCTCTAACAATTTCTGGTTAAGAAGAACTTTGTCAGAGAAACCCGTTATTCCCTGTTTCACTAGGGAGAGACAACGTTAGATGCAGGAATAATATATGTACAAGTGTTTCTTTTCCTTTTAGATCATGCATGGTCTCAATTCCGGACTCTGAAACCAGACGTTTTGGATCAAGTCCATTTTTGAAGTTTGGGCGTTACAGGGTCAGCTTGGAGTATTGCAGTGAACACTGGACTAAAAGGTAGGAGCCCTCACAGTGGCCTTGAGTGAATCATTTGCCCCTACGTCAGTGTCCACAACTGTAAAACGGGAAGAGTTGACGAATGATGTCAGAAGAGCCTTCCATATCCAGAGCTCGGTGTGCATCTTCCTTGAGCGAGGATTTTTATCTCCTGCTCCTAACAGTGTCATTAATTAAAATTCAATTAACCACCCCAGCTGGGAAATCCAAAGTGAAGAGCTGACACTTCTGATTAATTGAGAGTGGCAGAAAAAGAAAATGTTCGGAGAAGATGTGACAGGCAGCTTTGAGCATCCTGCTTGCCCTTTATTGAACTGACTCCCTGAATTGGCTTAAATCCCCAAATGAGTCTCCTTTCTTTTCTCTGTTTCACATAAAAGTGTTGTTAACCAGTTCCTGTGTTCCACCTTGGCAAGGTGCTGCTTTCTGGCCACAAAAGAAAAGATTTCTTTGGGTGGTTCTTTACATGTTCTTAAAAACAGAGACTGCAAATTGGTGGCCTGTGTGAAGACATGTTTAACTGTTAAGCCTTTTGAAAACTGAGATGTAAACCACCCCCACCCTCCCCCAGATGGTAGGATTTTTGAAAGTGAGAAAGCTCTGAGCTCTCATTCTTAGGTGACGAAATGAATTGAGTAGTGTTGCTCCTTTTTAGCTGGGCAGGAGTACTCTGTTTTGTCACAGACCTCACCACTCCCTACTGACTTCTATCCACCTTGCTTTCCTCATTTATATGGCCTGAATGACCCTGGTTGTGACCCTACTGTGGCCATAACAAGCTCAATGCAGAAGGATGTTGGGGGCTATAGCTGTTGGCTGAAGTCTCTCTGTCAGAGGTTTGATGGAGGAGCCTGAAGTCAGGAGAGTGGAAAAACAGCATGCCCAGGTTCACACAGTCAGTAAGTGACTTCTGATTCCCAACTTAATATTCTTCTAACCCCTGATTCTGAAGCTGAGAGTCAGACCCCTAAGCTTTCTGGGGGAGGATTCAGTATTGTGTGAGAGTACAGGCTCTATGATCCCATACTCTCCCCTGCTCCAGTTTCACTAATGAATATTCCTGAAGCGCAATTTTCTTGGGCTTGATGCGCCTGCTGGTTTTTCTGTGCGTCTCTAGAGATGGATACCCACAATATCTCCATAGCAACTTTCAGTGATAAAACCAAAAGACTCTTACTTCTCAGGTCTGGGAGTACCCTGATGAAAAAGGAAAGAAAAAAAATCTGGTGAAAATCTTCATGAGGGACAGTTACAAGTCATGGAGAGCATGCACCCGTGGAATTCAGTGTTTAGTAAACAGAACCAGGTGAACACCCTCACCTACCATTGTGCAGCTGTGTGACCTCAAGCGAGACACTTGACCTCTCTGCACCCCAGCTTCCTTCTCTCCTACACACAGCTAATAACAGGGCCATGTGTGGATATTATCATGGTAGAACCAAATAATAAAGCTAGAGGGCTTGCTTAGCACAGAACCTATGACTGTTGTTCGGTGTTCCTGAGCCAGTTCTGATTCAGAGTGACGCCTTGTACAGCAGAATGAAGCCCTGCCTGATCCTGCACCATCCTGTTTGTCGTTGCTGTGTGCACCCACTGCTACGGTCACTGTATCAGTCCATCTCATTGACAGTCTTCCCTCTTTTTTTTTGCTGATGATGTTCTCAGGGTGCTGGCCCCTCCTGATAACATATCTAAAGTTCATGACGTGAAATTTTCACCCTCATGCTTCTAAGCTGTACTTCTTCCAAGACAGATTTTTCTAGTTCTTCTGGCAGTTGGTGGTACACTTAATATTTTTCACCGACACCCATAATTCAAAGGTTATCAATTCTTCTCCAGTCTACCTAGTTCATTGTCTGGCTTTGGCATACATGTGAAGTGACCAAAAATATCCATGGCTTGGGTCAGGCACAGCTTTGTTAATCAAAGGTACATCCTTGCTTTTAAGAATTACCTATCTATAATAATGCTCAGCATTTCAAAATTTTCTAAGTAATCTTCCGTATTGTTTTTTGGGTTCTTCATTGACATTGTGAAATGGGCAGGGATGACCAATATTTGTTGCATTTTGTGGGTAAGAGAGCAAGATTGAGTGAATACTTTCTAAATATGACCTCTTGCCATTGTTATTATTAAGGAGCTCTGGTGGTGTAGTGCTTTGCATGTTGCACTGCTAACAGGAAGATGAGGGGTTCGAATCTACTAAAGATTTACAGCCACAGAAAGCTGTTAGAGACTCCCCAGGAGCCGGACTCCACTTGACAGCAAGGCGTTGGGTTTTTAGTTTGCTGTTATCATTATAATTAGGGCACTTGTTTTTTGAGAAGATTAATTTGGGCAGTTTGGGGTTTGGAATAGCTTTGAGTGTAAAGGATAGAACTCTTAATACTAAACACACTTTCTGGTTTGCAGAATTGTGTTTGTTGAGTCACTGCTTGTTGTGCTGATTAAGTTGAAAAAATGAAAAGAGCGAGCTGACTGTTATTGATTGGAAAGATAGAATGAGGTGAGTCTGTTCCCTTCTCGTGACATCTAGTCGCGAAGCTTTGGGCTCTAGCTCCCCTTCCACTTCCCCGTCAAACAGTGTCCAGCCAAATGTCATTTCTCCTATAATCTCCAGACAACCATTTTAATTAAAATTTACTAAATCTACCTAGCAGCAGGTGCTTCCGACCTTCCTTAACCTCGAGAACCAACCAGGAGAAAAGAAAAAAAAAATCCCATTAGAGAAAAGACAGGCGGAGACACCCCCATGGGCAGGTGAGAGCTGGTGGCCTGCAGTGAGTCCATCCGGGCGCTGCTGGTTACCTTTGACATGGTGACGAACTGCTCCCACCTTTGGTCCTTGGACTTGTCCTTCATGATTTTTTTCACTGTACTCTTGCTCCCACCTGGGTCCCTGGGTGAGAAACAGCTTAATGAGTTTTCCATTTCTAAAGCCTCAGTCTATTACAACAAGCTCTTTTAAGCAAGGTGATAAATGGAGGATAAGGGGTGGCTGATGTGTACTAGGAGTTTATGTTTTCCCTCCTGCACTCCAGAGGGAGGGGAAGGGCCGGGGCTCACAGTGTGGTCCTCGTCAGTGAACATCAAGGTTAGAAGGCATCACTGTTTCCTGCGTCATGCAGTGGGATGCAGCATATGGATGCGGGCATGTGTTCTGAATCCATCTCATGTCCCCTCACATATGCTTGGGCAGGTTGCAGTTACCCCTGGGGTGGGTTGGAAGGCTTGTTCATTTCTGAATCCTTGCCTACCATGGTCCCACCCCTGGGGACCCAAGATGGTACAGATGTGTGAAATGACTTGCTGTGGGAATTATTAAGCAAAGGCTCTGGGCCTCACTACATGCAAGAACTGTACATCCTCATTGAACAGTCTCTTGTGTTGGTGCCACTGTCATCCCGTTTTACAGATGCGCAAACTAGGCCAGCTGCCCAATGACAGTGAAACCAATGAAGCCCAGCCTTCAGGACTCCTTACCTGCTTATGTCCAGGGCCTTGTACCTACTTTGGGGGATTTTTTTCCTTCTTTCTCCTTAAAGCACTCCCTCTCTAATTAAAAAAGCTTCAGCACCACAAAACCTGGATTGTCGCTTGCCTATTTGAGGCCGCCCCACCAGACAATGTCGATGACAAGCCTAGTTCCTAATTGGAAACCTGTGGGGCTGAATGTGCTGCCAAATTAAGAACTTCGGCATTTTGGAAAGGAAACAGGGTTCCTGTTAACATCCAGCTGTATATACTTTATGTTAGCCAGTCACTGTGATGGGGCCTAGGGTCGTATCCTGCATATATTGTCTAATATATTGCTGTTTCTGCAATGACATGTTAATTTTCATTACCTGTTGCTGTCGATTCCCACCTTTCATTGGTTTCCTAAGTCTGTAAATCTTTATGGAGGTAGACAGCTTCATATTTCTCCCACTGAGTGGATGGTGGATTTGAACTGTCAGCCTTTCGATGAGCAGCCTAATGTATGCCACCAGAACTCTTTGATATTTACATCGAATGGGATAAATAGAAATTGTAACTACAAGTCAAGTTTTACCACCAGATAGTTTGGTTCATGTCAGCTTTAGTTGGAAAATAAGTTATGAAAAGACTAAATCTTTAGAGCTTTTTGGTGTTTGGATGTGTGCCTGTGGAGGAGAGGGCCTCTGTTAATAAGTAAGCCGAGAGTCTATGTATTGATCAATCTATTGAATATAATTTCATTGGGTTTTCAATCCTATCTTTTAGCTCTTTATCTCTGTCAACCTATTGATCAGCCTATTGATCTATCAACCTCTTGATGTGTCATTCCTATTATCTATTTTTTCTCTGTCCATTGACCAGCATAATAATCTATTGAGTCTTTCCATAGATATACCTATGCCACCCTGCCATATGACTGTCTACATATCTATTTATTGGTCTGTTTATCTGTTATACATCTGTCCATCCATCGAGCTCTTTCTTTGTCCTCCTTTTCTCTGCAGAAATGATACCAGGTGTCTGATATCCTTTCAGCCGTGTGTCTGGCTGTCACCTAGGCTAGTGTAGGAACTTAAGGGACAAGAAGGATGGACAGAGTGATATTGATGGAGATTACCCAGGTAGTGTGCAGGGGAGATAGTTCTGCTTGCCTGGGGTTTCTGAGTGCTGGTGGGGGAAAGATGCTTGGATGCAGGAGGTAAAAGGTCTGCATAGCAGCATTGAAGGCCTACATTCAGAGGTGGTCCTACTTCCCTCCAGCAGTCCGTTACTGGACCTTACCCAGCACAGGGCCACAGCACAGAAGACTCACCCAACTTCCGTGGTGGAGGCAGGCCAGGGCAGGTGGCATGAGAACGTGCCTCTGAGCTTTTTGTAGGACTTTATGTTTGATTACACAATAAAAAGCCCTCTGAATAATTAACAGCGAAGCTCGTTTAACATTAGCTTGTCTGCCTGTCCCCAGAGTAATCAAATTAGGGAATATTTAAAATCCAGCCGGAGGAAGAAGGAAAAAGACTTCAGTCCCATAAACAATATTTAAACTAGCGGCATTTTTTGAAGTCTGATTTAATGCTCACCAACTGGAAGCTTTAGCGTTTTCTGCTCTGGAGCATCATTTTCAAGGCCACGGAGCTTTGCACTCTCTCCCTTTGCACACGCAGCCCCTGCTGTGCCTCCAGCCCTTCTTCTTGAAGTTCAAAAGCAGCTCCCCCCACCCTTTTCCCCTTTTCAAATTAAATCTGGATCCAGCAAAGCCTGCAAAATCTTAAATATTCAGGCCCAATCAGGGAGATGGAAGTTTGCTGTTAAGGCCGACTTCCAAGATGAACAGAAATCAACAGTGACTTCAAGAAACAGCTGAAGGAATAGTAAAGGCACTCAGGTTCCCACAGATCTGAAAAGGCCCTGAGCCCTTGCTCCGGAGGAAGCTACAGATAAAGAAACCGGCTCAGGCTCTCTGATGTTTAATTTTCAGTAGGAAATAAACCAAAAAGGACGATCAGTCGAGTGAGGAAAGAAAAAAGTCCCTGAGCTGGGTCTTCCACGGTGGACTGATGGTGCACACCTGGTGGGGGTGGCCAAGGGCAGGTGCACACCCAGTCTACACACGTGACAGTGACAGCCCGCAGCAGATGTGGCCCATTTTTCCTGTAGCTTGACATCAGGTACAGCACTGTGACTTGATTTGTTCACAGATTTGTCAGCGTTTACTGCTCTTGCTTCAGCCAGTGACCCAGGATGAACGTCCTCCCCGCCGCCCCCCAACACATGGTTTCACACCATCCTCACAATTGGCTGTAGATTTGGGCTGCTGGCAAGCCATATGGTTTTCATGGGCTAAGTTTCTGAAGTAGATTGCCAAGCCTTTCTTCCTATTTCATCTCTAGCTGTTGCTGTGTTCTGTGTCACAGCAACAGGCAGGCCTCACTATCAGGTGGGTGGTGACTGTCCACAAGGTGCATTGGCTGGAATTAAACCCAGGTCTTCTGCATGGAAGGTGAGAGTTCTACTACAGAACCAGCCATCTCTTCTTGCTCAAAAGCAGATGAATGAAAGTGGTGTGAGCTGTGCTGGCGGGGAAAGTACATGTGGCACATTGTACCACATCAGGAGCCAGTGCTTAGCTCATCAAATCCCCATTCTGCAAAGGAGATGGTGGAGGTGTATGTGGAGGGGAGGCTTTGCTCCATCTTTGGTTACAGTGATGAGCAGAACTCCCATGCTGGGCATGCAGAGAGAGCTTTATGTCCCTGAGATTTTGGGATGTTCACTGAGGCAGCTTAGCCTAGCTCACCAGGTTAATGGCCCTGATTTGACTGTGTCTGACCATAGATAAAGAACTTGACTTCTCTGAGTATCTGAAGCAGAAAAGTGGTGTGTGTGGATGGTTAAGAGCGGGTCTTTGAGACATTGGCTGTGATTCAGTACTGAATTCTTGCCTTCCATACCAGAGACGTGGGTTTGACTCCCAGCCATGTGCATCATGTGCAGCCACCAAGTATCTGTCAGTGTTGGCTGGCATGCTGCTGTGATGCTGAACGTGACTTGGAAGAAGGGCCTGACATTCTACATCTGCAACCCAGGTGCAGGAAGCCTTATGGATCACAGCTCAAAGCCACTAACAAGAAGAAGAAGAAATGTAGATCTAGAATTAAGTGGACCAACTTTTTAAGTCCTCTATTTACCCTCTACTTGGATGCATTGACTTTCATTAAGTTATTTAACTTTCCTGAGACTCCGTGTCCTCATCTGTAAAATGAGGGAGTAACATCAGCTTTGTTACGAGGCTCTTGTCAAGATTAAGTAGAATGTTGTTTATTAAAGGCTTGGGGTGATAACCTTGTACAGAGAATCCGGAACACTTGACCTACCAACAACAGCATGTGGTTTGGATGAGGAGCCGATCATAGATGCACGAGACAGACCTAGGTTGTAGTCCATCCTTTCTTCTCCTGGAGCTTTCTTGGGATCCTGTTTGCCAGGAATTAAGAGACAAGGGCATTGAACACTGTCTTCTTGTCTCTTCACTGTCGCCATCCGGCCTGAAGCAAGTACAGTTTGTTCCTGTCGGCCACTTGAGAATGAAAGCCCACGGAGACACTCAGAACAGTTTTCTCAGATACTTCACTCCTTTTCCAAGCTCATGTTTGGGGGAAAACACTGATTCTTAGGCTGGAAAGTCTCTTGGCTGTTTTACTGGAAAGTCTGTTGGCTGTATTATCAGCTGCACTAAGCTGGCTCTGACTCAGGCTGACCCATATGTGCCAGAGTAAAGCTGTCTTCTATAAGGTGAGGGGTTTTCCCCCCTCTTATTTTTAAAAATATATTTCTATATCTTATTGAGATTTTAATAAAAGTTTATACAGAACTTGGATTTCCATTAATTCATTGTTGCACATTTTTGTCCCTGTCCCCCAGTTTATTATTTTCTTTGGGGAAAAAAGTTCTTTCATTGTTATATAGTTCTCCCCTCCATCCTGGACCATTTTAATATGCAGCTCTTATTCTGGAGTCTTGTAATTCTGTTAATACCTAATCATATAATCCTTTTATGTAATTCTCTCCCTCATCTGTTTCAATGCCATGCTCATTATGTACCCCCTCTTTTCTTCGTTTCCTCCCAACCCCCATGTCAGTCCTGTTTTATAACAGTGACATTATGCAGTATTTGTCTTTTTGTGACTGAGATATTTCACTTAGCATAATGTCCTCCAGGGTCACCCATTTTGTATAATATTTCATGAGTTCTTTGTTTTTCAGTGTTGTATAATATTCCATTGTGTGAATATACATACCACAGCTTCTCTAGCCATTTGTTTGTTGATTAGTACTTGGGTTATTTCCAAATCTTTGCTATTGTGAACAAAGCCATAATAAATATGGGTTTGCATATATCTGATTGGGTGGCAGTTCTGGTTT